CCATGTGCCTTTGAGGAAACGTCGTGAATGTGACAATAAAAATGAGGACAACAGTCCGAACAATGTAAATGGCGCAGATAGTTACAATATCGCATGTCCGAAATATTGACAGATCCTGAAGAAGACCGAAGCATACAATAGTCGAAACGTTGTGAATATGGTAACAAAGATGAGGACAACAATCTGAACAATATAAATAGCGTAAATAGTTAAAATATCGTATGTCTGAAATATTGACAGATCCCGAATAAGGCCGGAGTACACAACGGCCGAAACGTCGTGAATATGGCAACAAAGTCAGAAATACAGGCATAATTGAAATTAATATCCATCGGCCTCGATTTCAAAAGACTTACTAAAGAAAATCTGCCTCCCGATATGAATTGAACCTGTATTTTCTTTTTAATCTGAGAAAGCATCTTCAAGCGAGGTGTGTGCGTTTTAATCATTTCACCCCATGGAAGGAAGTCTAGCCACTGAGATACAAGGAGTTACTGAGTATGAAAGAACAAGAAAAAAGAAAAAAAAAGTTATTAAGGAGCAGAAACTATAGAAGAAGAGTAATCAAGAAGACAGCAGATAACGATTGACATTGCATTTCGATTTTTGAAGATCAAAGTTGGCTGGAAAAGAAGGCGCTGGTAGAGAATTCCACAAGCAAGAAGTGCGAGTAAAGAAACTAGTAGCATAGAACTTATGGTTACATCTGGTCAACTCAAAATAGAATTGATGGCACCTTGTTACCAATCTAGTAATGCGTGCCATAGCGAAGGATTCCTCCGAACAGTTACCACGAAAGTATTTTACGGCGGTGAGTAAGTGACTGAAGCCGAGATATCAGGGCAAGACCAATAATATTGCTGATTCTTCTTTGGATTTTTATCAGGAATCTCCAGATATACAGCAACAGCACCGAAGCATATGTGGCAGAAATATTCAAGACCATAGAAGTTTCTTTTTTCAGATTAAAAAGCGATTCGATTCCTGTCGCGAGGGACATTTTCTTTATGATTATTTACCCGCTGCCCCACGCAGCAAGATGCTGCACAAAGCCGAGTTTAAAGTGGGGTATCCTAGCCCGTAGGCTCGGGCAAAAATTCCATATAGACCACGTAAAAACGGAGCCAGTTTCCCGAGAGGAGACTCTGCCCATCGGCAGAGCCTCGTCTGGGCGATACCCTCTGATATAAGCCAGATGTAGTGAAAGAGATAATCAGCTACCTCGAAAAAGAGTTCGTGTTTTGTGCGAGATCTGTCGAAGAAAAATTACCAAAAAGGAGTTAGCAAAAATCTACTTTAAAGACAAGAATCTATGTTAATATTCTTCCCTCTTATGAATGGCGTGACCAATCAGAAAGATCTCTCGTTGAATAAAAGTCGTCGTTTTTCGCTTATGTTGGGGTTAAATTTTCTGAGCTTGGTGGACAAACAAGCGTTTTTGCTGGTGAGAAGTGAAGGTTGGATTTGTGATCCCATTTTATCATTTCTACGTTGCCTGTAGGGACTGTTACGACGGACTATCGTTTGAACTGTGATTTGGTTACAAGTGTTGCGGTCGATGTTTGTTGCTGCTATAATCTGACAGTTTATTTTCTTCTTTTTCTTTTCTTTACAACTACACTTTAATAAGACTTTCGAAAACTTACTCAGCGTTACAAAGACCCCCCCGACCCCCCAAAATAGAATGGCAAAAATGTGTACACACTAATTATATAACGTTTATAAGAAATGACCTTGAATCAAAAATATCTATTAACTGCTTAAAAATTTACGTTATGAAACTTGAAACAAAAATAAATCGCCTATCTGTAAGGAAACTTTACGTCACACCCGAATTCCCTTGAATCTGGTAGACCTCGGCGAGTTTTAAGGACAGAGTCGCAACTACTGGGACATATCCGACGAAAGAACAAATCCTACAACAAATGCTCTATATTTTCAAGGGATGGATCAGTCCCAAAATGTAGTACTACATGTTGAACTGGCGATGCCCAGCCCCCCAGCCTTGACGGGGTTCAAAAGTGACAACGCGGCCTTGTGGGTGATGGATTATTTCCCACCCTACAAACCCTTTCCCCATATACAAAAAGTTGCTAACCTCTTGCAACTTTGTCGCTATTTTAATTTAGAAAAAAAAAAAATAAAACAGTAATAATAGCAGATACATCGGTAAACGCAAATCATATAATTATAGAACACAAATGCTTCATCTAAAGAATTTAGGCAGCTTCAAACTATAGATTCGTAGAATGCAAAATGACCGGAGAGCTGCAATAAAAGACAACAGAATAAGATAACTGATTTTGTTTAGCGGCATATCAAAACCTCTATGGGTTATTTAATGCCAAGATAACTAATCTAAAAAAAAAAAAAAAAAAAAAAATTATGCCGGACAAAACTCAAAGAAAGAGGAGGAGTTGTAGCTTCACCTACGCACCTTACCACCGCACCCCCCACACTTGAATTAAAAGGGAGACATAGGTCAAGTTTTACACAGGAATTAAAAAGGCAGACATTGGTCCAGTTTTACACTGGAATTAAAAGGCAGACATAGATCCAGTTTTACACTGGAATTAAAAAGGCAGATGTAGGTCCAATTTTACACTGGAACTAAAATGGCAGACATGTGTCCAATTTTACACTAGAGTTCCGGGTTTACTATGGAGTTGAAATGACCGACATTGGGCCGGTTTTACACTGGAGTAGTTTGCCGTCCAGTGTCATAGACGATAAAAATCATAATGAATTAATGCAAAAGCAGACATAGGTCCGGTTCTACACTAGTCAAAAAGGTAGATATAGGTTCGGTTTTACATTGGAATTAAAAAAGCAGACATGGGTCCAGTTTTACACAGGAATTAAGAAGGCAGACATTGGTCCAGTTTTACACTGGAATTAAAAAGGCAGATGTAGGTCCAATTTTACACTGGAATTAAAAAAGCAGACATAGGTCCAGTTTTACACTTGAATTAAAAGGCAGACATTGGTCCAGTTTTACACTGGAATTAAAAAGGCAGACATTGGTCCAGTTTTACATTGGAATTAAAAAGGCAGATGTAGGTCCAATTTTACACTGGAATTAAAAAGGCAGACATGTGTCCAATTTTACACTAGTGTTCCGGGTTTACTATGGTGTTGAAATGACCGACATTGGGCCGGTTTTACACTGGAGTAAAAAAGGCAAACCAAGTTCGGAGTTAAAAAAGCAGACATGGTTCGGGTTTATATTTGAGTCAAAAAGGCAGACATAGGTCCAGTTTAACACTGGAATTAAAAGATAATAATATCCAGCAGCAGCAGCAGAAGAAAAAGAAGAAGAAAAAAGATTCTCGAGTTAGGTTAATCAATTTGAATATATTTGAATTCAATACTGGGCTATTCAATGTCGAATCCTGTCCTTATTTTCGTTTTACTTTATTTCGTTTTTTTCTCTGGAATCCAGAAATAAATATATGCCGTATAAGACTAAATAGATTTGTGCAAGATCGCATACTACTAGATTGGCAGATAGGTCTCATTATTTAACTGTTGAAAATGATTGATGTAACACGAAGTTACATTCTAATAATTCATCGCCTATGGAACTCCTTTCCAGCTTTTTGCTTTGTTCTTCTATGCACCGTGTTACTTCATCTCATGGTCGATCGTGGCTCTCCCCAATTTTCTCTCTAGTGTGGCTCTAAGCAGATTTTCTCCCTGGGCTCAGGTCCCCGCTCTCTGTTCCGTTATCCATTCATTCAAACTCGCCAGATAAGTAGCTCGCTGCCTTTTTTTTACGTTTCTTAATGTATATATCATATATATATATATATATATATATATATATATATATATATATATATATATATATATATATATATATATATATATATATATATATATATATATATATATATATATATATATATATATATATATACTAGCATGGGTTTGAGCGTTGCCGTGTTTGATTCAAAAATCGTACGACTCATACAGCAATCGCTCTCACTTGACTTAAAATATTTTTGCTCTTCCTTGCCTTTAAAGGAGTGCCCTTTGCCGTGCTGATGTTGCTACATGCCTTACTTCTTGCCTATCTCACACTGCGAATTTTTTCTATGCTCTATACTAAACATTAAATCTGTTACGAAAAAAGAACTAAGCAAAATGAACACAAAACGATCAGCTTTAAAAAAGGACTCGTAACTGGAAAAACCGAATGAAAAAAGAATGTTAACAACAAATACTTTTTCACACCCAACCCAGTTCTGCGGAATCAGAATCAACGTTGAGTTTAAGCAAGCGAATGAGCCAATTGGAGTTAAGTGCCATGCAGATTTAAATTTTTCCCACGAATGCAGCTATCGATTTATTTTGCATGCCAGCATGCTAGTTAATATTCGTGTCAGTCGTCTGTTGGCTCTCACGCTGGCTAATAGAATCTTCCTGCCTATTCGTGGCAGCCAGCTATTGGCTCTCACTTTGGCCAGTACAAAATGGCAGCAAACTACATGAAAACTGCCGTAGAAGCATGAAAAAAACCGATTATTTCCACTATCGATGGGAGTTGGGAAATGCAAAGTCGATCTTGGCCTTCTCGCTAACTTGGAGCCTGTGCATGTAAATTTTGGTTCAAATCTGTCGAAAATTGCGGCTGTGCATTCGTTACACACACACACACACACACACACACACACACACACACACACACACATATATATATATATATATATATATATATATATATATATATATATATATATGTGTGTGTGTGTGTGTTGATGACCTGAAAAATTCGTTCAAGCATGAAACAGACTGTCGCCACTCCGTGTTGATCTTAGTGACCATATATATATATATATATATATATATATATATAGTGCACGGTAATAATGGCACAGGTAAAAATGTCACAGGAGAAATGGCACAATGAAAATGGTGCAGGCAACAGTGGTACGGGTAAAAAATGGCACAATTTGCAAAATAGGGAAAAATGGCACAAAGCAAAAGCATACAGAAAA